CCCGCAACGCACAAAATCTAGCCTTCCATGGACCCATGCCTCCAACTTCAAGGGGGGTTGGCAAGCGCTGGTTGAGTTTGGGGGCAAAGGCTCCAAAAGTCAAACAAGACTTCGTTCACCATATTCTATGACGACACGTGGGCTGCACGATTGTCTACGAGCAAAGCAGTGCCATGATGGGACTTTGGCAACGCGGGTTGAAAATGTAAACCAAGTTGCGGTGGTCCGTGAACAGACGGAATCCACCAGATCGGATCCACAGATAGTCGAGGCGCTTGCACGCCTCGACCACGGCGAACACCTCCTTCTCCACAATAGGCCAGCGCGAACTGGCCGAGACAAACGAGCCGTTTAGAAATGCTAGGGGCTCGTGACGTTGCTCAGACAGGGGCAGCTATAAGTCCTCGGGTGGAACTTGGGTTGCAATCGCACCCCAGAATCCGTCGCTCGCGTCCGTAAAAGGACACACGGCCATGTCTCCTCGGGGGGGACTAAGCGGTACGATGCTGGTCAGGGCCTTTTTCACAGGCTCAAAGCGCATCGTGTGCTCGGCAGCCCACCCCATGGCGCTGACCGTTATCTTGGCCAAGGCCTATTTCTTAGCGCTCCGTGACAGTTTCGTGCCCACGTCCAGGCGTCGACGCAAGAGATCGACGAGCTGGCTGTACTTGGGGATGCTCGACCGCATCCAATTGGTGGCACAGATGAACTGCTGGAGGTCTGCGGCGGTAGTTGGCAGCACCAATTCGCACAACCCTCGAACTCGAGCAGGGGAGTGGGTCACGCCGGCAGACGAGATAACTTTGCCACACCATTCACCGTCGCGGAGGAAGAACGAGCATTTCTTCGGATCCAGCTTCAACCCGACGGACTCGCAAATCTCCAGGACTTGCTCCTACAGGTCAAACAGTCCCATCGGAGTGATCGCCGCGCCCAGCAGATCGTCCAGCCAGGCGAGTAAGCCGCGAAATAGGAGCTCACCGAACATTTGGTGGCCGTCCGATTGACAAAACGCAATG